TGTAACGAGGTGAAACGTATGGAGATAAACTATTTAAAGATACATTGAACTGATTACAAAAACTAGCTTCGACAGTGTGACAATAATATAAACTATCAATAGTTAACCAGGTCGAGTCTTCTCAAATTATGGAGATTTTGGGAGGCTTCTTCTAACTGGATTTGTTTTCGATCTCTTCTATTCTAAACTTTCTTCATCTTCTATTCCATCTAAGCATCGCGTACAACTTTATGAATAAAATTCCAATTTGTCAACAGAGAACAATCGGTTGAATTTACTGAAGACCAAAAACAATATAATATGTGTTTGAATTTCTTAAACCAAGACAATGATTCACCTCGACGGGAACACATGTACGTACTCATATAAGTAATCGGTCTACCTTTTTGTTCCTAGAAGGAAATATATTCCAAATTTACATAGTAACCACTTGTTGATATATACAATCAGTACTCCATTTCCTCTGACCACATTAAACAAATGAAACTGATTTCCTGTTTATCCAGTCCACTCGTTTGATTGTTTTGTTGTTAAAAACATTTGGAATGCTCAAAATAAACTTAGCGTCATTGTCTGAACATGACAACGACATCGGTTTGTTCCAATGTTATCTGATGTAACGAACGGTAACACATTGATACGTAACCCAACCTCTATGCCTGTTAGACCACACAAACATTATCTCTATAGTTTCCTTTCTAAGCAAAAGCATGATACCATTCCTTTCAACTGTATCCGAAGTTGTATTTCAAACTTAAGTCTGTAAGGATTATATTATATTTAGTTTCCGAAGACTTCAGTATTAGACCAGTGTAGCTTATTAAAGTAAGTACAATATTTCATACACTAGATATATTTCTTTTCGGTGACATAGAATACATTCTACAAATTATTTTCCTCCTCCGAATTGAGTCTTCATTCACAAGATCTTTTCGCATCAATTTATTCATAACTGACAGTGCAACTTCACTTAACCAAGATGATTTATACCTGATAACTTTGAAAGGACAAAATAGTCTGTTATTTTTTAACAGCACCAAATATTAAGTTCTAAATTTCCTGAATAATAAGAATGGTGTAGGTTGAGAAAGTAAGTGTTATGTTCACACCCACACAAATACTTTGAAATATATTCTATATGCTAATTTTATTTACCAGTCATTGAAACATTGTCTATGTGTATGGACGAATTTTGGTGAGAAAACTAGTCTATCTGTCCTATTGTTTATTTCTATGTGATTCACTTTCATAGTTTTTATTAGTACAGTTTAGTAAGGTTCATGCATAAATAAACATTGCATTTTGGTGTATACATATATAAAACTATATTATAAATGTTATCTTCATCATTTGCCAATTCATTTAGCAACATAACAATGGCATTCGTTAAATTTCGTAACTTAAAGAGTACAAAAAATAAAAAAATGTACTAACTAACTATAACTTGATGCTTACAAATATCTAAAAGTTCTTTGGAAATCATCATTGACATTGTGCATCTTCTAATAAATTATCGCGTCACATAATTGCCTAACTACATAAACTTCTGATTTATACGAGTTACGCTCTGATACACTGGTGCAATAAGACGCAAAGTAACTGGATACATACAAGTTATTGTAAATTGATGAGTTGATAATGAGAATATTCGCTATTAGGAATAGTAAAAATTTGTTGTCAAACTATTCTGTAAGCAAGCATCCTAAAAATTCATAAGAATATTTTGATGGAATTTTGTTCTCTGAGCTGGACTGTTTGGTCGTGGAGCTTTCATCGTTCTTCTGAATGACATCATCAGAACAAACTTCACATCCTCCTGAAGTTTGTTCTGATGATATCATTTAGAAGAACGATGAAAGCTGCATGACCAAACAGTCCAGCTAAGAGAAAAAACTACATGAAAATCATCCACCTGAGTTACACATGTTCTTTACCAACTCAAAATTCAAAACAATATGCTTTTAAAAGAATCGTCTGATGAAAGGAAACTATCACAAAATGAGTTTCACAGCACTATTGCTATGATGTTTATAGACAACGTCATCTTTGAAGAGAATTTATTTAGTTTGTAAAAATAGAGCAGAATACTGACTGTAACCAATAGTTTTGTTTATGAAGAGGTTAGATGCTCAAAATACTTCCTGTATACCACAAAACCAACCGAACACTTACTACACAGTCTACGATATGCTTTCAAAAATGTCCTTAGAATTGTTAGACTAATCGGATGGTTAGTTTAACACATGAAAGAAAAAGAAATTGAAAAGACATAGTCAACGACAAGTTGAACGATATCTAATGAAAACAAAACTGTTATTCAGTTCAAAATGTTTCTAATGACAATGGTGTCAATAAGAGATACGTTCGAGAAAACACAACTGATCTATACATGGATGAATGAATTACCAATCCAGTTTAAAATCTACGCATTTCATTATTCATCTACCTTGATTTGCAATAAATTAGCATTGAGACTTACTCTATCTACTCTTCAAACTACGCAATCATGAAGTGTCAAGCACTGGACACTGTAGAACAACAGAGAAGCTTACTCTTGTCGAAATCAATTAAGTTCAACTCACTGACGTTTATCCACATGATTGTTGTCATTTTTAGTTCAATCATATTGTAGCGGTAAATAAATCCCCAAAATAAATAGCCCTGTAAGTTTTCGACATTGGATGCTGATCACAGTTTTAGTGGACTCATCTAGCTGAAGGCGCGCCGTCAAGCATCCGCACCAGATCACGTGTGGGAACGCGGTGCTCAACATCTGCCGCAATCGCTAGCCAGATTAGTTCAAACGATCCTCGATATATTGATAGCTTATCAAATATATCTTCGATCTCCTCGCTTCTGTCTTTTCATTTCAATTGGTGGGTACGCTTCATATTAGAAGGTGTTACTGGTTAAAGCGTTGTCAAACTCCAAATACCTGTGGCATCTTCAATATCATTGTCAAACACTCGTCATAAACAATATCTCGACTAGAAAATGTTTCGCTAGAATTTTATCATTTAGTAAATAAATAATTACATAGTAAGCCTTCTCTCTGGGCTCATTGACCAACCATCTATGCTGACAGTACTAAACTAGACGCATGGACTAATTTCATGGAGTACATCACACTCAAAGGAAAAACCAAAATCCTATACTGTTTGGTCGACAAAAGTAAACAGTAGAATCTTCGTTTTCGAGTGAGAATTTTGTAGAAATTTGGAATATCAGAAGTATTTCTATATTGTCTACATACTTCTTCTGTTATTCCTTGACGCCTACATAATTCACTGACTCCACATCCGATCATTTACTGATTTAGTCAAATTAGAATACTATTATTATTAATATCAGTATTATTATTATTATTGAACTCAACAGTTCATATCAACCATATTGGAAAATGGAATTTCTAGCCAACTTGTCAACCAGTTGGCTGGCGATAGAATACCTCCAGACGACGTCAGTAGGCTGCCAGAACACAAAACATGTCTGTTAGCTTGTATTAGATCAGAGATTAATATTTATCCAGTTGATCATCGATATTTGACATTTTGAGTGAATTCCATGTTTCACCATTCACAACATTACATTCGACTGGATTGAAAGTTAACTGTGACTTCGCACTCAACACACGGTTCACTGTTCAACACAATACTGTTCTTGTTACTGGTTCAATATCGGTTAGTGGTGTGATACGAATCTCATATTCCACACATGAACAAGTTTGACTAAACTACAATTAAGTTAGATTTACAGAGGTCGCTCTTGTACAATGGATTTAATACTTTACCGAAAATTCCAGATAGAAAGATAATTTGCTGAAAGTTACAGGAATACATCCATCAACATTTTGATCAGACAGATTAGAAGTGATCTAATCTAATGTATTCTGGAATGCACTGTACCGAAAACGAATAATTTAGTTGCCATAAAAATCATACGTGTTAACTACTTAAATGGTACAAGTAGCTCAACTATTCTGAGTCAATTTCTCATATGGCGATGGCTTCGTCAAGGAAGCTTGATCCACATCATCAGTCAACTTGATAGGACGAATGCAACTAATTTAATCATGCAAATCAGTAAATCCATGAAGTTATGCAACAGCACACTCAAATATTTGTAAAAACCAAATACGACCCACACAACCACATTCTCACACGATTCGAATACGTATCTAGCACAAACTAATTGATCGACGACGAACCTGATAAACTAATCGGCCTTAAGTATTTAATGATAATACTGAGAAATTCGTAAACCCAAGTTTCATCTTTATCAACCGGCTGCCAACAATGCCTACCGGCATTGACCACTGTCCATTTTACTGAGGTAGATACCTGTCAAAATTGACTCATAAACTCAACTAATAAATCTAGGTAGATGTGAACGAATCGTATAAACAACCTCAAAATCTAACCGTGAACAAGTAGAATGATTACATACGATTAGATGTTGCAGTATAGAACTCCAGACTGCACTCCTAGTAGACGTACACAGTGAAATGTCACCGTATCCGAGTTGAAAGCAAGCCCTTGCTCCGACCAATGTACCTTACTCCACAAGATTAGGTGTGCTTATAATGCAGTTTTCTCGTCATCCAAGTGGATTGATGATGCCACGAGTATTCGGAGTTTGACAACGCCTTAGCCAGTAACACCTCTTATAATCGAAATATACCATCCCAGTCAAATCACAAGTGAAGAGGCTAGAGGATATATAAATATATATCGAGTAGCAATATATCTGAGCTGGCTAGTTGTTTTAGGAGATGTGTAGCACGGCCTACACACTCGTGATCTGGTGTGGATGCATGACCGACTGTCTACAGCTAGATGAGTCAAGTAAAACAAATGCTCTCAGCATAATTTGTCGAAGACATACGGAGCCATTGGTTTGGGGAATTTATTTACCCCTACAAAGCAAAATATATTATGAATAGTTTTAGTTGTCTTCATATCGTATATCGTGATATATAGACAATAACTCACTCACACAATCAAATTAATTGGAAACTCTATTCATTCATTTAACGATTAGCTGAAACAGTATCTAGTTCGCCATTGTCAGAGTCGAAAACACAAGAAAGTCAAAATCACACAAACATTGAAAGGACAACATTTATGAAAACATACATACAATTAATATTCATGCACTTCACATTCTTTTCAACAATAAAGCTGAGAGAAAATGATTTCTTTCAGTTTACAGGAGAAATATATTATTCTGTTCACATTCACGACGAACGTGTTCAGGCCATATACTAACTTGCACTTCACCAATATGTTTCTTCTCCATGAAAAACATACACAATCGACTCTGTCCTATTCCACCACCTATCGTTAATGGATATATACCATTCAGAACATTTTGATGATATTCAAGCTGTTTACGTGCTTCACAACCACTTTCTTTCAACTGTCTCTCCATTGACAACTCATCCACTCGGATACCCATTGACGACAATTCTATACATCTATCGTCGTGTTCACTATACACTAGTATATCTCCATTCAATTCCCAATCATCATAGTCTGGGGCTCGATTGTCGTGTACCGTATTGGATTTCAAAAGCTTCCCTATCTGTTTGAGAAAAACAGCACCATACTGTTTAACTGCAAGATATTCACGTTCTGCCGGTTTTTTGTCAGGGTAGATATCTTCTAACTCTTGTGTTGTAATGAATTTAATATTTTCCGGTAACTTGCGATTTAACACTGGGTAAGCCGATGTCAAAATGTTCTCAGTTACTTTCATAGAGTCATATATCTTCTCAACTACTTCCTCCAATTTTTTGTCATTTCGTTCATCTCTCTGAATAATGATCTCCCAGTCCCATTGGTCTACATAATATGAGTGCAGTGGAGAGATAACTTCATCACGTCTAATCGCATTCATATCTGTGTAAATTCCATCGTATTGATTTAGTTTATATTTGTGTAATGCCATACGTTTCCATTTGGCCAAGGATTGGTTAATGAATGCTGTCTCACCAGATTTAACATCGAACATAATTGCACGTTCCACACCGGATAAATCATCTTGTAATCCACTGTTGGCTGGTACAAATAGTGGGGCAGATACACGTAACAAATTTAGTTTCGCTGACAATTGTTTCTGGAAACAATTCCTTATAAACTTGATTGCTTCTTGTGTTTTCTCAACATTCAGTTTTGACTGATACTTTGACATTACAGTGATTAGTTGTGAAAGTAGGGATTAGGTGATCAACTAAAAACGTAAATCCCAGTAAAAACATTACAATCCAAATTACGATCTCGTCGAAAATTCAAAAAAGTGAAATCTTACTGGATTGAAATATGCCATACATGTACAGAGTAGAAGGATACTACGACTTAACACATTATGTAACAATAATCTCATACATTTATACACATGCGCCATTCAATCAGTAAAGTGTTCACTGTCTAGACTAAGCAAATGCATTTAGATAGTAGAGGGAGACTGGTTGGATTGATTATATGGTATCACTGACTGAAATGATTCTGATGAATGAGATGTGAATCCTTCATCATCACTGGTTTCGACTTGCAATTTACAAGATCATAGAATTCAGGTCATCACCTTGGTGTTTTCAGTAACCGACTTAGTAAAAACCATTTATCAGAGAAGTTACCCGAAATAATCTAAAAATAACCTTAGTGTCCTCTACAACTTTACTATTAATTTCTCACTGTTTACTCTTATTGAGCTAACAATCTTATTTTAAGCCACAAAATAAACAAAATAGTGTAATACATGCAATTAATCAACTAACTACTATTCATCGCTAACTCTTATTCACAAGGGATTTATATAAAATCACTGAAAATTTAAATTTGGAATATTCAAACACGAAAAATATCCCAATTAAGTATAACGGAGAATCAATACAGCAGTAACTCACTTTATCAAAAATAATAGTCTGACCCCAAGTGCATTGTTTTTTTTATTTATATTCAGTGACAGTCATATAGTTTAAAACAAAATTTCATCAACATAATAATGATTGGTCAATACAGTAGTTAACAGAATAATATTTTCTGACCTAATGACAGTTGTGTGACTAGATTTACACACAGATAAATTGATGTACTGACTATACGATTTATTGGTTATAAATTGGATATTGAATAAAATGAAAGATAAGAAATTGAAAGATAGTTTGAATGAAATGTGTGTATATAATACAGTTTTCTTGTCATCCGAGTGACTTAAGGATGTAACGAGTATTCAGAATTTGACCCTAAGATGTGACCAACCAAGCTCAACGAGTTTGTCATTGGTAAACATTCTTCTGATAGCTTGCTATGTTCAGCAGCGTCTGGTCGTTTTTCCTTACTATAGTGGGGCCATGTGGTACAATATGGTAATGAAAAACAAGTACAATGAAAATTTCGATTTATCGTAGACTTTGTCGCTTTTCGTATTTTTTTGCTGCTATCCTGGAAAAGAAAAGAAGCATATGTAAGTGTATGCCGAATTATATGAATTGTACGTGCGTAAAGACACAAAACGGGCGAAATAAAGTAATATAAACTTATATGCATACATTTCATAAACACTCAGTAGAGTAAGAAAGGATTTTCGCAAACTGATGTTTTGGTTGTTTTCTGAAAAAAAAACAACATATAAGCAAACATATTAGCAACAAAAATATTCTTTTAATATCAGAAGGGGTTTTGTGGAGATTGTAGTAAGTTCAATGGTTAAGATTATGAGTCAATTGAAGTTAGACCACCATGGAAAACCTGGAAGCAATGGACGGCCGTTTCGTCCTATTGTGGGACTCCTCAGCAGTGCGCATCCACGACCTCGCCCCCCTCCCGCGAGATTCGATTCCATGGTGGTCTAGCTTCAACCTATATATATATATATATATATATATATATATATATATATATATATATATATATATGACCGTATAAAAATAGCTTTTCTTTTGACACTGTAATACAAATAAAGAGACGAAACAAAATATTATGAGGTATCTTACATGCAGTAATCGTTTAGGTGTTCTGAAAACCTTACTCTTCTTCCAGAACGCGTTGTTTTAGGTCGCTTGTCAGATACCACAGAAGTGTTGTCGTGATTGTTGATTATCGGGTAAGGTATTGTAATTGTGAAACTCGCGTTGTTCGATTTTACTGAAGGAAAAGTGCTCCTACATACGCGGCTTTGGAGCAGTCGATGCGGATTCTATCGTTAGTTCCGTTCTTATTGATGATATAGTATTTAGGTTTATGCTGAAGTACTTTGAAGAGTCCTTCGTACGTCGTTTCTAGAGGTCGCCGACGTTAGTCGTGAGGTACAAAGACGTGTGTACTATATCGTCGGGCAGACCTAACGAAAACATCGGTTGACTGCAGTCGGGTAGAAACAAGTTTAACTGAATGCATTGCGTCTGTAAGCCTACTCGTGTACGAGTTTGGATTCATATTCATTGAAGAAAATGAAGGATCCGAAAATTCTCCAGGAATCTGGAGTGTCGTTCCGTAAACAAGTTGAGCTGCCATGTATCCGATGTTAGCTTTCACTGCATTGCAGATGCCGAGCAGAACGAGTGGAAGAGAGTCGGTCCACTGTGAAACGTTTGCATCTGAGAGTGGAGCTTAAGCTGTTGGTGAAATCGTTCGATCAACTTGTTCGCTTGTGGGTGGTAGGCGGTCGTTCGGAACCGCGTGATTCCTAATAGTGTAGTCAGAAAACTGAAAAGTCCAGATTTAAACTGGCGTCCACGGTCTGTAGTGATAGTTGAAGGACGGCTGAAGTTTGCTACCCACTCTTCGACGAAGGCGTAGGCCACTACTTCAGCAGTAATAAATTTGATGGGTACTGTTTCTAGTCATCGAGCGAAACAGTCTACATAAGTTAAGATATAAAAGTATCCATTTACATATGGAAAGGGTCCTACCAAATCTAGATGAACATGGTCCAAATGAGTGTCGGGTGTTATGAATGAGCCTAAGGGACATTTGATATGTCTAATCACCTTAGATTTCTGTCAGCTTACACAGGAACGTGTTCATTCCTTCACGTCTTTATACATATCAGGTGAGCAAAATCGTTGTGCTGTGAGCTTGATGGTTTCACGAACACCTGAATGAGAAAACTTGTGCAACGTTTTAGAGACGCTGCATTTTTGGACGATCTCTACCTGTGAATGTGTCACGGCAATGTCTTTCACCTGTTCCCGTCTGTTTAATACACTGTTTCAGGGTTGTTGAAGATAACTCGTGGTTAAGATCAATGTCTTCTTTTTAAAGATTAGAAACTGTTCAAGGAAGTTATACGAGATAAGGCGTCTGAAACTGCATTTTTTGCCCCAGAAATGTGTTGTATACCTGAGGTAAACTGCTGACTGTAGTCCAGTTGTCGAGACTCTCAAGGGGAATACTTGTCCTAAAATGAGCTTAAAGAGGAGATCAGAGATTTGTGATCGGCCTTTCATGGAGTGTTGGAGGTGGCGCACAGTACAATGCAAGGCTAGCAGTTATATCTTGATTCGGTGTCTAGCAACCGTCTCAAGAAAAATGCCAAAGGTTGTCAAGTTCGGGTTACCCATTGTTGTAAGACTCCTGCGATTGCAGAGTCGGATGCATCTACTGCGATACTAATGGGTGCTTAGGTGTTCTAGTGTGCGAGAAATGTTTCTTTGACGATAAGTTCCTTAACTGTGAAGAACTCTTTTATCGCGAAGTCTTCCAAATTGATGAACTCGTTTCCACGAAGTTGGTCAGTTAAAAGTATTATAAGAGGTGCGCAATTCGGTAACAACCGTCGATAGAAACTTACCAGGTCGTTAAACATGCACAATTTCTTGATTGTGGTCGGTTCTGGGTAATCCGAAATGACCGCCACTTCGCTTTTCAGAGGTCGGATGCATTGAGCATCAGTGGTATATCCTAGAATACCTAGAGAGTCGGTACCGATTTGTCATTTCTGAATGTTTACAGTAATGCCGTGCTTTTGTAGTTAATCGAAGACCAGATCCAGATGCTGGAGGTGAGATTCTCTGTCCGGACTTGCGATTCAGTAGTCATCAACATACGCATATAAGAATTTGAGACCTCGAAAAACGTCATCGATGAATATCTGAAAATTTCGTGCAGCATTTATCAGGCCGAAATTCATGAGTGAAAATTCGTAGTGACCGAAATTTGTGGTGATAGCGGTTTTAGGAATGTTATATGCTTTAACCAAGTTGATTTTAGAAAAAAACAATTGTACCTTTCAAAGTAGCTGTCAAATCGTGAATGTGAGGCAACGGGTAATGGTCAGGAATGGTTTTCGCATGCAGTCGCCGATAGTTACCAGTCATTGCTGTCCTTTTTAGGGACGATGTGCAAGGAAGATGATCATAGGCTGTTCGATGGCCGAATGGTTCCCAAGTCTATCATACGGTCGAATTCGTTTTTAGCCAACCTAAGTTTTTCGGGGTCTAGTCGGCTTACTTTGGAGAATACGGGTAGCCCTGTAGTCGTGATGTGATTTGTAACATTGTTGGTTACACATGGCGATTTTGGTTGCGTTTGGTATAGTTCTGGGTAATATGATTCGATCGTGTACCTTATTGTGACTGATGGTAATCTACAATCCGTTAACCTCCATTTGCGCGTGTCAATGAGTAGATTATGGTGTTGTAGCAGGTCTATACAAATGAGTGGCATAGAAACATCTGCAGCAATGGTGATCCAGTGGATGGGTTGGCGTAAATCCACGTTAAGATAAACATATCGCTAACCACATGTGGCGATCGGTTCCCCATTTACCGCTTGTAAGTCGTGCTGTCGGTAGTTAGAATTCTCTGGAAGGACGCTAACTTCTGCGCCAACGTCGACGACGTAATGATCTTTCGTAATCACATCAATGATGTATAACAACGGTTATGTTCGTCGTCTAAGGTTGCCATTAACGCTTGCCGACTGGGAAGTTTACCGAAGCGGTTTTCGTGTCGGTCAGTTTGGGGCTCTGGAAACTACAGGGTTTTCTACAATTTCAAGATTTTCCTTGTTGATTACGATACCGGCACCAGACAGGGTTATCCGTCTTTCGTGATCTAGAGACAGATTGTTTTCGTGAACTACTTCCTAGAGGAGTTTGGGAGCGTCTACGGCCATGATGAATACTAAGGTAATGACAGAGATTTATAACGTCATTTCGTATCGTTTGAGGCTTTGCTTCGGTTGAATAAACCTCGGTGTTCGAAGTTCTGTGTTTCTTTAAGCAGAAAGAGAAATTTCATTCACTCTTTATGTCATCGAATACGTCGGATATGTAGTACGGAAACTTGATGAAAAATGGCTATCCAGACCGCTTCATAGATAAGAATATGAAAATAAGTAGTTGTGACAAGGAATTCGGTTGTTCCGTTCAAAACAAAAACATTCATATAAGTTTGTAATTTAAAGGTGATCGAACATCTGGTGTAATCAAAGATTGTTTAGTGGCAGCGATAAAAAAATTATATGCGGCGAAACTACGATTAACGTTCACTTGTAGGAAATTGTTTTCTGTATGCATAAAAGATAAGCTTCCCCGTCCGGTCGCCTCCATGTACATCAACAAGTTCACCTGCTCTTGTGGAGCAAGGTATTTCGGCCGTAGCAAACTCTCGCTTTCAACTCGGACACGGGAACATGTCACATTGTGGTTCTGTAAGGTTGAGAGAAGTGCAGTTAGGAGTTCCATACTTGAACATCTGATCACTCTACTGATCCACAGTTTGATTTTAAAGTTATACGATTCGTCCAAATCTACCTAGATTTCTTCGTTCTAACTCCTAAGAATAGCTGAAGCTCTTACCATCCATGAGCTCAAGCCAGAACTATGTATACGAAATAGTACGTCCTATCGTTATCGTTACCTTGGCCTTAATTATTATTATTATTATTATTATTACTGCATTTCTTCCCTTACGTATGTCTGATATTCTCATTATTTTATTCAGAATTGTTCATGATATCACTTTTTTAACACTGCTATGACCTTTAATGACCTTTAGTTATTGTAACAAAATCATTTGAATCATATTACTACATTCACGTTACAACTCGTTACTAACTTATTAAGTCTATTGTTATTAGTTG